CTGGGCGACAGAGTGAGACTCCAACTCAAAAAAAAAAAAAAAGAAAATGCAAACTAACCTAACCTTGACAACAAGGTGATCAGTGGTTACCTGAGGATGGGCAGGTGCAGCGGAAAGGAAAGATGGGAGGAAAAGATTATAAGGCACATGAGGAAACGCTGGGATGATTGGTATCATCATATTGATTATGGTGATGACTTCATGGGAATGTACATATGTCAAAGCTTATCAAATTGTACACTTTTAAAATGTGTAATTTATTGTATGACAATTATACCTCAATAAAGCTGTTTTCAAAAAGTGGTTTGGGATAGGGAAATGCTTAATTCTGAAGAAAATGCTTTACAAAATAAAATTAGCTTAAAAATAAGAGAAGAACTGAAGAACAACTAAGAAAAGTAAAAATATAAAGCTGTAAAAGAATATTATGAGCAAATAGAACATATACAGGGCAACAATAACAACTCAGCTATCGAGAAATTTACCAGGTACCAGTTGCTCTTTGATTATAACCGTTCTAGTGAGTGTGAGATGGTATCTTGTTGTGGGTCTTCTTCCAGTGTGTTTTGGTGGTACATAACATAATGGCATGTCATAGCATTTATAGCATTGATTCTTTTTTTTTTTGACCACATAATCTGGTTTATTAACTTTAGTAACAATAATTTAAGATACAAAATTTAAAAACAAGACTATTTATACAAAAAATTATGGAAACTGATAATACGCCAACCAACAGTCAATATAACCAATTAACAAATGGGGCCAAAAGACCAATGCGTATCACCCATCTTTCATACAAATGTCTGATTTTTCCCAAACATAAAGGCAGATTAATTCAAACTCGCTCTATGAAGAGCATCTACTCATTTATAATGTACAACTCATACAACACTAGTTTCCTACTGAAACTTAAGAACCCACCACATAGCTGGGCTCGGTGGCTCAGCCTGTAATCCCAGCACTTTGGGAGGCTGAGGTGAGTGGATTGCCTGAGCCTGCGGGTTTGAGACCTGCTGGGGCAATTTGGTCAGACCTCATCTCTACAATACATTAAAAAAAAATTAGCCGGGCATGTAGCATGCGCCTGTAGTTCCAGTTACTTGGGAGGCTGAGGCGGAAGGATGGCCGGAGCCCAGCAGGTCAAGGCTGCAGTGGCCAGAAGCGTGCCACTGCACTCCAGTCTGGGTGACAGAGCGAGACTCCAACTCAAAAAAAAAAAAAAAAGAATCCACCACATGTTCAGATTGAGACAAATGTTGCCAGGGACAGCAGCTTACACCTATGATTCCAGCACTTTGGGAGGCCGAGGTGAGGATTGCCTGAGCCCACAGGTTCGAGACCAGAGTAGGCAATTTGGCGAGACCCCATCTCTAAAATAAATCAAAAAATAAGCTGGGCATGGTGGCACGTGCCTGTAGTTCCAGGTACCTGGAAGGCCGAGACGGAAGGATCGCCTGAGCCCAGCAGGTCGAGGCTGTGGTAGCTGCGAGTGTGTCACTGCACTCCAGCCTGGGAGAGAGTGAGACTCCAAATCAAAACAAAACAATCAAAGCAGATTTAGACAAGGGTTAGAATTATAAGACACCTACTGGGCAATTACTGCAAAGTCTGAACTACAGGTAAAATATAAAAGGATATATATATATATATAAAAGGAAAGATATCTTTTTATTTAAGACATGTAGTAAATATAAATGAACTAACACTCAACATTAGAATAAACAGATCTTTTTTTTTTTTTTTTTTTGAGCTGGTGTCTCACTCTGTCACCCAGACTGGAGCGCAGTGGCATGCTCCTAGCCACTGCAGCCTCAACCTGCTGGGCACCAGCGATCCCTCCACTCAGCCCTCCAAGTAGCTGGAACTACAGGCGCGCTACCACGCCCGGCTATGAATAAACACATCTTTTATGAGAGCCCATTTCAGTCTTCATTTCACCACTTAAAGGAGCAAGGTCTCAGGCGGGTCATTTCATTTAAAAGCAGACTGAAAATATGTAATATCACCTTAGATCCCACCTATGAAAACTATCCAAGGGTCTTTTCATATCAACTAGAAGATGAGAAAATAGAATTTGAGAAAATGAAATGCTAATACTCTCACACATAAAGGCCTAGATCAACTCCTGATGACTTAAGTTAGAAGCTCTTGCCTAAAAGATCACCCTGTATCTCTTATCTCAACACTCTAAGATATGGCAGAGAACCAATCCTATGATACTCTCTATCTGGGCTACAGGGTAAAAAATAGAACCTGTCTTCTATATAGCACCAACAGACCAGTAGCTAAATATGCATAGGACTGACTTTAAAGTATCAAAGAGTATTTCAATTCATTAAAGAAAATAAGGTTTACATACTTAGGAAATTCTGAAATGGCTCCTGTTAGTAGTTAAAAGAATACTTTGTATTTGGTGAAGAAACCAAAGAAATCTGGCTATTACTTTGTACATCGTTTATGTTTGTAAAGTGCCAGTTTTATGTACAAACCAGTTAAGTAAATTTTAAAATGGGCCATGAAGCAGCAAAGTTGCATTTTCCAACTGTCTAGGCTTTAAAGTCAAAGTGGCCAGTCACAGCTACTGGTTAAGTCGCAGCCAGCCACCTGCTTTCCAAAGCCAAACATGGACAAGATCTTCCATAAGAACCCGAGTAACTTTTCTTAAATATGCTTTCTTTCTAGGTGGCACAATTAGCATTAATAAACAGGACTGATCTTGAGTTAGCTACACTGTCATCTAAACATTATGGACAATTCATAGTGTAGCTGGTTGATACACTTAAGCTGATTGTTTTTTATATGAGAAGGAAAACAATCAGCAAAATAAGAGCTCATCTTCAGTTCATTTAGAAGTCAGCATCCAAAGTAAAAGAATTCTCCGTTGGACTTGACATCACTCATATTCTCTGATATTCGCCTACTCTCTTCTCAAAGAAGTTAGTCATTCCTTCCAGTGAAGTATTATCCATCAAGTCAAATGGATTTTCTACTTTGAAAACCTTGCTAAAACCCAGTTCCAGCATAAGTCTGTCAGCCACAAACTCGATGTATTGCTTCATTAAAATGCAATTCATCCCAATGAGCTTCACAGGCAAGGCTTCTGTGAGGAACTCCTGTTCTATCCTAACTGCATTGATGATTATTTCTTTTACTCTCTGCTCCGATGGTTTGTGTATCAGGTGTTTGAATATCAGGCAGGCAAAGTCACAGTGTAAGCCCTCATCTCTGCTAATAAGTTCATTGGGAAATGTGAGGCCAGGCATCAGTCCTCATTTCTTGAGCCAGAATATCGATGTAAAAGAACCAGAAAAGCAGATGCCTTCCACTGCAGCAAAGGCTACAACACGTTCTCCATAAGTAGCCTCTTTGTCCCCAGTCCAACGCAAGGCCCAATCTGCCTTCTTCTTGACACAAGGCATCGTCTCAATGGCATTGAAGAGAAATTCCCTTTCTTTGGGGTCTTTAATGTAAGTGTCAATAAGGAGACTGTACATTTCAGAATGTATGTTTTCCATGGCAATTTGGAAGCCATAGAAACAGCGGGCTTCTGTAACTTGAACTTCTTGGCTAAATCGCTCCACCAAGTTTTCATTTACTATGCCATCTCTTGCTGCAAAGAAAGTCAGAACACGCGATATAAAATATCTCTCCACAGGTTTCAGGGATTCCCAGTGCCGGAGGTCTTTGGTAAGATCAACCTCTTCAGCTGTCCAAAAGGAGGCCTCAGCTTTCGTGTACATCTGCCAGATGTCATGGTACTCGATAGGAAAGATGACAAAGCGGCGAGGGTTTTCTCTCAGCAGAGGTCCATCCTCTACCCTGAAGTCAGGCCCTTTAGTTTTCGGCTCGGCCAGCTCCTGGAAGATCCTCCTTGCGGTCTTGCTGTCCAGGACGCAGGAGCCGCTCAGGGCCAGGGGCATGTTCTCCTTGTCCGCCAGGCTGAGCCCCTTCATGGGCGACAGCTTCAGCTGCTGGGGGTCGGCGATGGGGGCGAGCGGGGCGCGCAGGGAGAGCATGGGAGCGGAGAGGGCAGGCGCAGTCAGAGGTGACCAAGGCAGCTGGGGCCGGACGCATGGGCTGCATTGATTCTTATTTTGTAGCCAAGAACATTGAAGCACAGAAAAATTAAGTCCAAGGTCACATAACTACAGACTAGGGCTGAACTTTTACTAAATTCACCAGAGCCTATACTAACACCAGAGCCTATACTTAAAAAAAAAAAAATCTAGATGTTGAATAAATAATTGTACAAGCGAGTGTAACTTTAGCTAAAATTCAACAAAATATCTCCTATTTCATTGTACAATGTGTCTTTTAATATTACATTTGCAAGCTGGGCTCGGTGGCTCAGCCTGTAATCCGGTGCCTTTGGGAGCTTGAGGTGAGTGGATTGCCTGAGCCTGCAGGTTCGAGACCCGCCTGGGCAACTTGGTGAGACCTCATCTCTACAATAAGTCAAAATGAGCCGGGCGTGGTAGCGCGCGCCTGTAGTTCCAGCTACTTGGAAGGCTGAGGCCGAAAGATAGCCAGCGCCCAGCAGATGGAGGCTGCGGTGGCCGGGAGCGGCCACTGCACTCCAGTCTGGGCGACAGAGTGAGACTCCAACTCAAAAAAATAAAATAAAATAATATTACATTTGCACATGCTTCAACTTAACGCATTTTAAAGTTTTTCTCTTCTTCATTTTCATTCTCTTAGCCATCGTGACATGATATTGTTTAACATAAATTGTACTGTTGAATTGGCTTCATTGGCATAAACATTAACATTAGCTCAATATTAGCGACCTCGGGGTCTTCAAACATTGATGATGCATTTTGTTCTTTAAGTGAAATTTGTGCAATAAAATCATAGGTTGTTTTTAAAACTGATCTTAAATCTTCTGCATTATCCAGAATTTTAATCTATTGATTTTTCAAAATTATATTATTCTCCATTGGTAATTTTTTTAAAATTGAGATTATAATTCACATGCCATAAAATTTACCTTTCAAAGTGTTCATTTCATTGGTCTTTAGTCTAATCACAGAGTTCTGCATCCTTAGACATTGTCTAATTCCACAATATTTTCATTATCCCAAAAAGAAATCCTGTATTTATAAGTCATCACTCTCCAATCCACCCTCTCTCCAACTCCTGGCAATCACTAATCTATTTTGTGTCTCTATGGATTTGCCTATTCTGAACATTTCATTTAATGGAATCATACCTTATGTTGTCTTCTGTGACTGGCTTCTTTCTCTTAGTATTATGTTTTCAATATTCATCCATATTGTCGCATATACCAATACTTCATTCCCTTTAAAGCTGAATAATATTCCATTGTATAGATATACCACTCTGTGTTTACTTGTTCATGCTTTATTGCATTTGAAAGCATGGAGGTCATAGGGGTGCCACAATCTGATACTAAGAATACAGGAGGAAAACCAAGTTTGGGGCAGGAACACAATGAGTTCAGTTTTAGACCTAAGTATGAGCTTCCTGTGGAATTTCTTGGTGCACATGTCCAATCTGTAGTTAAATAAGCAAGCCTAAAGCTCAGAGGTGAGGTCTAGTCTAGAGATATTGATGAGGAGAGGGAGAATGGAAACACAGGAGTGCTATTTAAAACCTTGAGAATGTATAAGAAAACGCCCAGATAGATCAGACAAAGCAAATATAATACTTGTATTTGTGGGACTCTGCAAAGTAACATATTTATCCCTAAAACTTAGTGGCTTAACAAAGGAGAGTTCATGTCTCCTACACACAAAACACACAAAATCTGTCATAGGTCCAGCAGCACTCCAGGATAGCACCCTCTGGGTGGTAGGTAACTCAGAGATCCAAGCTGCCTCTCTCTTGTGGCTCCACCATCTCTACATGTGACCACTACAGTTGCTGCATTAGGGAAGTGGAGAGCTACTGATTTGAAGGCTTAAACTGAGGGGTGAAGAGTATTATCGCCACTTCCTAACCTGCTCATTTATGGCTCTCCCTATGTGCCAACAGATTAGAAATATAGTATTGTGGGTAACCAGAAAGGAGAGAAGAACCATGAATGATATTAGCAATGTCTACCACCTTTCCAGTGGGAGCACACTCCAAATCTAATTCTAGAGGTTCTTTCTGCCAACACCAACGTGGGTGGAAAGTGGGAATCCGCCTGGAAAACTCCTTGAACAAAGACAAGACCTTTTCATAATTGTTCATTCCTGGGGACAGATTAGGGAACTAGCTCAAGAGAAAGTGCTGTGGCCCTCATGAAACCAAGATTTTAATAGGTTATGTGACCTCTACTGTCAGGTGTCACTTAGGTATAAGGCAATGCAGCCTCAGTTGCCCAGAAGCTGAATCTTATGAAATATTGCAAACACTTGTGCATCCTTCACTAGGCCCATTCCAAAAAGAAAAAAACCACAAGAAAGAAAGAGGTAGCCAAGCCAGGAAGAAGGCAAGAAACTGAACCTCATTTATCTCTGCCCAGTACCTATTGCAGGGCCTAACTTGTGAGTTAATTGTTGCATTAATGGTATGACAGAGTGGGGAAAAAACAATTATTGATAACTGAAACTGACTGGAGCCATTGCCATTCCTTCCCTGAAGAATTTTTTCCTTGTTATGCCTAAAAATCCCCAAGGATGTTTATTTGGATCCCAAGAGGCCATACCTGTTGCTCCTACCTCTTATTAATGAAGCAGGAGTTCATTAACACCCTTGAAACAAGAGGCCTCTGCCATCACCACCACATCATTACCATCATTGCTACCACCATCACGACTGTTACTACCATCCTGCCTACTTTCTGACACTACTTCTTAAAATCAGAGCTGTTTTACAACCTATCTAGGTTCCCTAATCCTATTGTTTCCAGGGAACTGCTCCCTGATTCCTTAAACCCCATCACTCCCTACTCTGCTCTTATGAAAGGAGGAAGTAAAGTTCTCCATATCTCTTCATCCTTCTAATCCAATGTATGGTCAAGTTTTAACAAATGTTTCTGGGTCAAATATCTCCATTAAAAGACTCTCAGATCAGGCTGGATGTGGTGGCTCACATTTATAATCCCAGCATTTTGGGAGGCCAAGGCAGAAGGATCACTTGAACTCAGGAGTTCAAGATAAGTTTAAGCAACACAGCAAGACCTCGTCTCTACAAAAAATCAAAAATTAGCCAGGAGTGGTGGTGTGCACCTGAAGTCCCAGCTACTCAAGAGGCTGAGGCAGGAGGATCATCTGAGAATCAAGGTTGTAGTGAGCTGTGATCATTCCACTACACTCCAGCCTGGCAACAGAGTAAGATCTCGAATCAAAAAAAAAATTACTCTTAGATCATACCATAACACATTTGTATACATATTGTGTGTGTGTGTGTATAATATACATCTGTTCAGGGAACAAGTTTATTGTAAAGTGATTCAAGTAATGTTTAAGATGTGGTGAGCAAGCTGATGTGGGCACAGAGGCAAAATGTCAAGTTTCTGGCTTGGGCCCTGGGTAGGTGATGACACTATTCAATGAGTGGCAATGATTCTCAGACTTGACTATGCATGCTAATCACCTGGGGATGTAGATTTTGATTCAGTAGTTCTAGGATAGGACCAATTGGTTGCATTTCTACCAAGCTTCCCGGTGAACTGATGTTACAAGTGTTGGCACTACAGTTTGAGAAGAAAGAAGCTAGAGAACATAGGAAAAGGAAGAACATTGGTGTTGGGGTGGAGATAAATTCAGATGTGATGCATTAAAATCCCCAAAGTAGGCAACCCCTCGGGTCCCCCTCCCACCGTGAGGGTTTTTCCTCTCAATAAATCCTGCTTTCTCAAAAAAAATTTCAAAAATAAAATAAAATCCCCATAGTAAATCAGAATGGAGATACTCTGATGACAACCACATGAGTCTGATGCTCAAAGGAGAGCTAAGAGGGAGAAATTTGAGAGTCATCAACAAAAATATTGTGGAAATTGCCTCCACCCTTCACCTTCATTTTAAATGGCATTAGAGTGGTTGGAGGTCAGAGGACGGTGAGTCAAAAAAAGTGGGAGGTACAGAAGCGACCCTTTCCAGAAGTGTAGTTGTTAAGAAAAAGAGAAACATGGAGCAATGGCTGGAGGAGAGCTTGGAGTTGAAGAAAGATTTTTTAAAGATGAGGCAAAATTTAACATGCTTAAGTACCGTTAGACATAACTATCCATCAATAGGCCACTAGAACCCAGGCACAGTAGCTCATACCTGTAATTCCAGCATATTGGGAGGCCTAGACGAAAGGATTGCTTGAGTCCAGGAGTTTTAGACCAGCCTAGGCATCAGTTCAAGACCTCGTCTGTACAAAAAAAAATCAAAACTTAGCCAGACATGGTGGTGTGTTCCCGTAGGCCCAGCTACTTTGGAGGCTGAGGCAGAAGGACTGCTTGGGCCCAGGAGGAAGAGGCTGCAGTGAGCTATGATTGTGCCACTGTACTCCAGCCTGGTTGACAGAGTGAGATACTGACTCAAAAAAGGTGCCATTAGAAAGATCAAGCATGCTTCTTATCTGACATTTCTACTTAATACTCTCTATTCTTTCTAACATTCCACAAACATTTTATACTGGGCCAGTAATTTTCCTCTCAACTTTGATAGTATATTACAGCTGGGGTCTGCTATAGACACAATACTTTAAAATAAAAGAAGTGGCTGGGCTCAGTGGCTCAGACTGTCATCCCAGCAATCTGGAAGGCCAAGGCGAGTAGATTGCCTGAGCCCCCAAATTCGAGAACAGCCCGGGCAACTTGGTGAGACCTCTCTCTACAATAAAATAAAAAATAGCTGGGCGTGGTAGTGTGCATCTGTAGCTCCGGCTACTCGGAAGGCTGAGGCGGAAGGATCACCGGAGCCCAGCAGGTCGAGGCTGCAGTAGCTGGGAGCGTGCATGCCACTGCACTCCAACCTAGGCAAAGGAGTGAGACTCCAACTAAATAAATAAATAAGTAAATAAAAGTAAAAGAAGCAACACTGCCCAGAATCTACCTGCTATCCATATTCTAAGACCTTCTCTTTAGAAGTTATATTTGGAATGCTCCCTCATCTGTTCTCACTGCAAGCAA